TCTTGTTCTTCTGGTCCCGAGGGGCTCTAGGTGGACATCTCTGGCCAGTGATGGACTGTCACTGCACTGTCCACCAGAACAATTGCCCTGCTCCAAATAGTCTCCTGGCTGTCCACCTGAACTCTTGTCCTGCTCTGGACGGTCTCCGGGTCATCTGCCGAAACTCTTGCCTCGCTCCAGATGGTTTCTTGGTCGTTCGCCTGAACTCTTGCCTCACTCCGGACTGTCTCCGGGCCACCCGCCTGAACTCTTTTTCAATACTGGACAGTCTCTTGGACGTCTGCCCAAACTCTTGACCCTGTGCTGGATAGTCCCCTAACCGTCCACCTGCACTTTTGACATTTTGTGTGTGTTTTGAGTTTCCCAGGTCATTTCCTGTCATTTTTTTCTTTTTCCATTGCGTTTTCCTCGTGCCCTCCATCCTGTTTTCCTCCCTCCCCCCACCCAAGTTAGAATAATTTTGGGGATTTTAAGGGCCATCCTTAAAGGGTGAGTACTGTGAGGATTTGTGTTCCCTAGTGTGTCTCCCCCATGTGGTCATCTCCCGCTCCCACCTATTCCTAATTGTCTTTTCCCCAAGTGTTTGTCATCACCTGTTTGTTATTGTCTGTATATAAGTCAGTGTCTATACACACATACATACATACATATAGTATACAATCCATCCAGCCATTCATTTTCTTTATCGGCTTCTTCTTTTTCGTGTCACAGGGGTCACTGAAGCCCATGTCCAGCTATCACTGTGCGAGAGGCGGGGTACACCCTGGATGGGTTGCAAGCCCATCACAGGGTCACATAGAGACAAATGAGTCCAACAACCATTCACGCTCTCAATTGAGGGTTACCAATTAGCCTAACATACGTGTTTTTGGTCTGTGGGAAGAAACCGGAGTGCCCGGAGAAAACCCACGCATGCACGGAGAGAACATGCAAACTCAACCAAGAAAGGTCTCGGGCCGAGATTTGAACCGGCAACTTTCTTGGTGAGGCAACAGCTCTACCAACTGAACCACTATTTTGTGTGCTAGATGGAAGAACACCAAGTGCAGTTTATGTGTGTATTGATCTGCTTGTGTCTTGTGTTGGCAAAACAGCCAACTATTTTGGGATCACAACTGAGTGAACATTGGTAAAACAGGTGACTGCTAACATTAATATTTTAAAACCTGACAAAGAACACCACACCTTTATCAGCGTGCTTAAAATTGGCACGTCCTCATTCAACAGTCAAGGGTGATTTACTGGAAATGCTGTTCAATGCCGCACCCTCTGTTCCAAGAGTTCAATTGGAAACATTTGATAAGAAAAAAAATTGTTTCAACAGATTATGAATCAAGTACAAAAAACAATTTAGACATCAAACAAATCTATGTAAAATGTGAATGATATCTGGACTATTTGCAAGACGGACTGTATAAATTAAACACAATAGTCACATTGTGCATGTGAACCACCACTGCACAAGTTTGAACTCATCAAGTTGTCTGACTAGACCGGAAGGAGACATTTTCAAGGCTTTAAGAGTGACAAAAGATAGATAATGTACAGTACACGTAAATTAATTAAAATAAACACACATTTAGTTCTACGGTAAACTTTTATAGAGGATCTTAAAATCTACTTACAGCACCACAAGATGAAAGTCAGCTGTCTTGGCGCGGGTCAGTCCGAGACGAGTCAAGGAAAAAGGAAGAAGATATAGAAAAGGCGGACAGTTCTAAGAAGGGGCGGTGCCAGAGGGGTGAACCTCGAACCTGATTGGCTACTCCAGTAGTCAACTCAGTTAATTGACAAGTCATAGTGTGTCGCGTTTAAAGATGTGCCAAGAGTCAGTAAGGACATGCAGTATAATTTCTTGTTAGCATATTATTTTGGTAAAGACGAAAATATTTTACAACATGCAATTTTTTTTCAAAATCTACTATGTAAAGTGATAGTGTTAAAAAAAACAATTTCCATGACAGTACAGTATAACTGGCACTATTTATATACATTAGGGTTAGGGTTAGATATATAAGTACAGTATACAAGTATGATAGTTGACTTTAGGATTTTTTATGTTTTTGTAAACAGCAGTGATTATGAGTGACACCACATAAGTTATTAAAAAAATTCAATTGATAAAATTTGTAATATTCATTTGATGCTCATATTTATTCAGTTATGCTTTTTTTTCCACCAGCAAAAATGGCAAGACATCAGAAATCAAAATTTATATTTTACCACTATCCTGGATCAGTAAATAACCAGACACCTGTACAATCATATCTTTACACATTTATTTCAACTGTCATCTGAACAAATTTACAGTAAATTCAAAGAGTAACATTCAATAAGCTTCAAACTCAACTTTACAAAAAGAATTATAAAGCTTGCATATTAGATTTATTTTAATTGCAGGTCATTCATTTCAATAAAAGCACTTTAAACCTTGATTTTCAATATTAAAAAGTTGGCAATCGTTCTTTTTTTTTTTCTTTTTTAAATTCCATGCTCTCGAAAGCTGCAGTAACAATAATTTTGTACGTAAGTGCAAAGAGCCGTTCAGAGACAGGTAGAGGCATCGCAATCCTGATTTTATGTACATTTTGAAAGAGGCTGAAAAGGTTCAGTATTTTCAAACACCAGCAGGACAGGCAGAGACCCTCTTTGCTCCAGAGGATATATTTACATAGAGTCCCTAATATCTGTGAGGAGCGTATTCAGTCAAAAAAAAAAGTTATTTTGTCAAACCCAACCCATGAAAGTAAGTTTAATTTACCTGATCAATTACGTTGCCACATCAGATCTAAATGTATCAAAATGCTGCATCCTGTCCTGAATATTTTACTTCCCTAAGCAACAAACTATTTAGTTTTTAATAACATTACAGTCTATAGAACCTACAGGAACATTTCCCACTAAACATCTACATTCTTCTAAGAGCTCAGCTATGATAATTAAAGGTTTGTGCTTTCAGGAGACATTCCCTGTAATGGAGGGAAAAGGGGGATGTAATACCTCACCACGGCCATAAGGAGGCACTGTGAGTCAATCAGAGCACTGAAGATATGCTCTAATAGGGAGACAATGTATCTCAGTCCATGAGGACATGAACTGAGTGGAAAACATTTGTCTAAACTTCAGCGCAATAGGAAACTTTCTCTGAATTATTTGGGGATACAGTAGCAATTAAACTACAAGCTTATCAGTAGAAATACAGCAAAGGCGTTTATGTCCAAATCCTTAAAAATATCAGATGGATTTTTTTTTTTCTGAAGGTCTAAGAATCCATGAGAAGAATATATAGGACAAGAGCGATGTAGAAAAGCCAAGACGTGACTTGACCAAGCTTTAGTTTACATCCTAACGACAGCTGTTGTCAGGGGTCGACATCTGGGGCCGAGATGTTGTAGAGGTAGGGCAGCCGACCTGGGACCAGAAAGTCGCGGCTCGACTCCCAGCCATGCACATGTTGTGGCGTCACTGACCAAAACACCTAATCCCTAATTGCTCCCCGGGCAGCTTCCATAGCTGCTCACTGCCTCACCTGGGTGTATCTCAGGTGTGATGAGTTAAATGCAGAGAACTAACTGCATCATTGGGAACATACAATGACAATCTCAGATTTCCCTTCCCTTCATCGATGGTGTGAACATCATGGACATTTCATGGTTTATACGGAAAGATTACACAACAAACAACTTTAATGATTTTAAAACAAGTATTGGGTGCAAAAGTTACAAAAATTTTAATGGATTTTCTCTTATCTATAATTATACTTAAAGCTCAAAAAAATAAACACATTCACCTAAGTCTTTTAATGACGTAGTGCTAAATGTTCTTTGCTGTTTTTTAGCTTGACGAGGCCAAGACTTGTTAACGTGATCACGACTGACTGCAGCTGGTGGTTTGTCTTTGCCAGGAAAATATATTGTTGACAGCTGTCATTGGATTGATCAGTACTCAAAAACAGAGTCCAGAGTGCTCGGTCATGGTCTAGAAAGGAAAATTGCAGATTTGCACAAGTTGAAAATTTTTTTAGGAGCTATTTCTAAAGAATCTTAGATTCCAAGAGGATCAGTCAAACTAAGACCACTTTGTCAAGGCTTGGAAGAAGACCCAAACACTTTCCCTCAGATTAGAGGATCAGGTCAGGACGTTCAGGAAAAATCCAGGAACCACCAAGGCTCATGCCTGCTTTGAACTGGAAACTGCTGGAACACCAGTGTCTCGATCCACACTGTTGACAGTTTTGGACTGAGAGGGTGCCGACTAAGAAAAAAAGCCCTGCTCCTAAAACAACACCTTCATTCTCAGTGGAAATTGGCAGCTGCCCACACGTACAAATGAATGGCTTCTTAAAAAAAGCTTAATGGCCAGACAAGACAAAAGCTGAGCTGTCTGGCAACAGTCACAAAAGGTATATCAGGAGGAGTCAAGGCGAAGCTTTAAACCTAAGAAACTGAATAAACTTTCCACCATAGAGGTGGTAGCATCATGCTGTGGTACAGGTGCATTGCACAAAGTGGAAGGAGTAATGAAAGAGGACGACTACCTTTAAATGCTTCTACATCACCTCAAATTAACAGATAGAGGTTGTATCCACTAAGGTGTTTCAACAGAACAATAATTCTAGACATCAAATTTTGTTCCTGATTGGACAAAGAAGAATGTTAAACCTTTGGAGTGACACCACAGTCCATGCTCAATAATCCAGGTATAAAATCCAACAATGTTTAGTCAGGTCATCTAAGTGACCATTGGTGACCAGTGGTCATTGGAGTGACCTTTCTAAAGCCCCTGTCTCAGTCCTATAGAGAAATTGTGGACTATGCTTAAGAGCTAAATTTCTACAGGAAACCATCTGATTTAAATGAATTCTACCAATTCAGACAAGGGTGGTCAGTTATTCAGACAGAATCTCGTTGATGGTGACATAAGTCGAGTGGTCAAGGTGCAACTTGCTAAGGGACATTTAACCAAATATTAGTTGAGGTATATGTATGATTTGACCCCGTGTGGCATGGAGAACATTCACAATAAATTCAAGCTCGTGCCTCCAATTCTTGTTTTTAAAAATCACTGAATGTTCTATAATCATCCCACTTCAGAAAAAGAACTATTAAATAAATCTTTAACAACCCAAAACTGATCCCACATTCGTGACCATGATGACCACCTCATGCCTCACCTGTGGGCATGTATGAATATTTAAGAATTCATAAACTCCTTCTTTTACTTTCACAAATGTTTCTTTTGAGTGGAAGACATTTGATTGCAGGAAGGACAGTGAAGCAGAGTCCCTCACAAGCTCAGGTCAATCAAGACGTGTTCGAAGATTTGCGTGTTTCCCTTGAAGCTGGAGGAAAAGATAAAGTCCCTGCGGTCGGTGGAAACCACAGTGAATGAGCGTGGGGCTTGGATGTACACCTCCTTGAAGCGTTCAAAGATTTTCTTGTCGTCGTCCCAAAGGTAGATTTGAGAAAAGGTGTAGTCACTTCCCAGAGCCAGGTAGTAACGGTCTTTGAAAGAGAACGGCTGGAGAATCATGGAGCCTCGTGAAGGCAAAGCCTGGATCTCTGAAAACTGTTTCGGACCCCATTTTAAGACTTTAGAGTCACCGATGTAGCGGGTCATAGCAAGGTAGAGCTCGTCCTTGATCCGAAAGTGCTTCACGGCTACGACGTCCTCCATGTTGGGGATCTCCCCCTGCAGGATGAACTTCTGGTTGCTCCGGCTCCAGTGGTAAATCACAGGAACTTGTGAGCGGCTCGCCAAAATGAGGTGAGCCTTCCCATCCAAGTTCAAGAACTCTGCGTCCGTGTCGCGGTACCACTCGTGCAAGGACTGGTACGAATAAAAACCGTTATCATTCCACTTGTAGAGGGTTGACAGACCAGCTTTTGAGCTGTCAGCAATCACAAAGAACCAGTCAGATCCAATCTGAAATGCCTCAATGTCGTTGGGTTTGGAGATCTTGGACACTTCGGTGTCCTGGAACTTATTGAACCTGCTCTGGTCGTCGTCAAACTTGTAAATGTGGGACCCGCCGAAGAGCTGCGCCACAATGACGAACACCTCGTTTTGGATGACAACTGACTTGCAACCCACGATGGACTGAGCTGAAAGAAGAAAAGCACACCAATCACGTAACAGCAAAACTTCTTTATTCATTCTTGAGACGTTATCTTAAAGGGGTTCCCCTACCTGTGATGTTATCGTACGTCCTGAAGTTCATTTCAATGTGGTCCCATTGGAAAACCATACAGCTGTCACTGCTGGGTGCAGCAATGGTCACATAAACATCGTTCTTAAAACTAAATGTGTCAACAAACAGGGACTCAGACGCCACAGACTGATGAAGAACAAAATCTGTGGAAAGAACCAACGGTAGAGTCTTGACGAATGGACAAAACATGTCAAGAAAAGTTGGATCATAAGAACAACCTTAAGCTTTGCTGTCGCTCTCACCCGTTGACATGCACTCGTTGTGCAAACTGTTCATGTCATTGAGGCGCTTGTCCTTCAGGTCCTCCGGTCCGGCACACACAACATCCGACACCGTGGCATTGGTGCTCTTCAGCCACGTCATGAGCCATTTGGCCCTGCAGTCACACTCAAAGGCGTTGCCTCGCAGGTCCCTGTACAACGGAACCAACGCAACTAAAACAGGCAACAGATCATTGTGTTCCCAACATTTTTAACCCTGTGACAAACTTACAACTCTATCAAAGAATCCAGATCAATGAAGACGTCCCTGGGTAGAAATTTAATATTGTTGTTTGCCAAAGACCTGAAAACAGAGAATAAAAACAGCAGCAATAATCAGACAATGGAAGAACATGACTCATCTATACTGCGCAAAAGTATTTTTTAAAATAGAAATTTTGGAACATACAAGTGAGTCAGATCCCTGAGTCCTCTGAAGGCAAATTTTGATGTAGTCTCTAGTTTATTACTCTCAATGAACCTGTGGATTAAAAAACAGGGATCAAATGTGATTTTCTTTTCATATACTTTTGACAGTTGGATTTTTTAAAAATAATACTGTTAAGTAAAACACTTGTCTCTTAAAATATATGAAGCAATTAATCATCAAAGACAGCAATCCAAGCATGACAATGATGAGCTTTAACAAATGGATAATAAAGCCATTAATAAAAAAACGACTTTTCTGTAAAAAGAATTACAGAACATTGGTGTCCACATTTATATTATTACAAAAGTAGATGTATTTATTGAGCAAAACAGTAACAGCTGCCTTTATGTGGTCCCACTTATTGAGATTAAGTCACATTTCTTTAGTTTATGGATTACAGGGATTTAATCAGTATTCATGTCTTGTACTGAATGAGGAGACCAGTTTGGAGAACATGTGGTTGCCACTTTCCTGCAATGTCACTGTTTGTGGGGATCAGATCAGAAGAAGCAGGTAAATATAATGAATGAATGAATGAATGAATGAATGAATGAATGAATGAATGAATGAATGAATGAATGGATGGATGGATGGATGGATG